CGCGTCACCGTTTACTCTAACGATATCAAACCGCCTTGTATACAAATAATCACACTTTTGCATCGTCCGACGCGTCCCAAGCCAGCCAACGAAGACAGATTTATTATAGCAGGTGCTATCACAGAATGTGGGTGCATCTTGTGCAATATGTAGCTCGTGTCGCCTACAACAATTACAACTTTGTGAGTGGAGGGAAACTCCCAAATGGGTGTGACACCGAAAGCGAAATGGTTCACTTACCCTGGGGCCTCATTACACTGCAAAAAAATACATTGTTGGCCGCACAAACAACTGCGTCGCTTGACCCTCCGTCTTATGATAGTGCTTTATTACACCGTATGTTATGTATCCGTCAGGCCAATTTCGTACTTTGTCATATTGTTACTGAATAAATATTTCAATAATTTTATTTGACGTCAGCAACAGAATACAGAACACCAACAGATGCTGAATCACAAAGCGATGCATCTAGCGACGTGCCCTGGGCCAGTAGGACACGGTAACTAAAAAAAAAGCGGGTGCTCTCTCTTATCACGCTAATCACAGACATTTTTACATACAATTCCAGAGTTATAAACAGTAGTGAGACAAATAGTAAACAGTGAAGTTCCTAGACAACACAGCTGTTCGTGCCGCTTACAATCGCCGTGTAAGACGTGCAACAGCTTCTCCACACAACAAATAGTACAGTAACAGTTAGTGTCGAAAATCGAGAAGTAAGAAAGGGAACAGAAGAGAGAGCAACGGGAAGCCTGTCGCTCGCTCGTCCAATCAATACTTTTCTCCTCTATTTTTGAATCGATCGACGTTGTGGCAACGCAATAGACGAACCTGAATTGCAAAATTCACCATGTATTGAATGAATAAATATTTCGCGTTATTAGAAATACATATGAGAATGGAAAATACGGAACATTAACACGTTGGAGACCGCGCATGTTTTACGTTTTGCGGCCGCTTGGGATTTCTGTGGATTTTTTTGGAAAATTTTCCCAGGCAAATTGGGAACAAAACCTATGAATGATTCGAAGAAATCTTAATGAATGAAAAGGAAACGAAAACAGATGAAAAACTCGATACTTGTTCAACAAGTGTGGGTCATAAGGTCCCAAACGGTAGATAGACTGCAGCCGTATATGGGCTGCACGGGCTCCAAGGTGTTAAACGGCTTCAAAAGTTCAAAGTGACTGATGTAAGCTCGACTACAGCAGGATCCCTACAGCATTGCACTAGTGAATAGAATCTATCCTAAGCCAGCTTTCTAGGGACGGCTTCACCCAAGGTTTCAAATGTCGTGTCAATAAAAATGCTGTGTATGGATCAGAAATCCTCAACTTCTACTTATTTCTTCCGGTCACTTCTCAAAATTGGAGAGGGGGGGGGGTTACACTACCATCCATTACTACCACCGTTACTAGGTCTCACTGAAAACTTATAGAGATGAATCAATCAGAAGAAATTTGCTACCGGTATATCGATTTACAACTCTCATTATAGTTTCTTTTTTTCGAGGACATTAATCGTTGTCATCAGAAGTCAAAATCGCCGAATGTAAAAAAACGTCCTATTTACAGGAAACAACAATCCAAGATGGACAAAACTTAATTTTACTCATCAACTATGAATTGAGTGAAGCGGTCTGATGTCCAAAGCAAAAGCGTGGCGACAAGCAAAAACAAAATCCGTGAAACTACCAAAGACTAAGCCGCTCTCAGAGTGTAGATATTAAGATTCAGTCAACTGCTTTTTATGGCACTCTCAATCATTCACAATTCATGCGCAATTCTGTGCGAGAAGGCTCTGAATTCTCTCTGCATAAGGATACCCTGGCAGTGAGACTCTTTCATCGGCATACATGAAATCGGACAATATTCGTCGCGGAAGCTAACAGAAGCTAGTCGAGATTGGACCTGTGCGAGTTTACAGATCTACTAGCTCTCAGTGGTCGGCAACATCCCTCAGAATGAAGACATTCAATGTGTTCACTCCTTAGAGTCAAACTGATGCCTCGAACGCCTACCTCTCGCGTAATAACTTCGTATAGCAAGTACAATCCATTCCTTTGAAGAATATCAAAGTGGATAGCGCACTACTTCGTGATGTACATAAGAGTTCAGATCTAGGATTGTTCTCACCTTCAATCATAATCATAGCATTGGCGAGATCTTCTCCATAAGGGTTGCGCACAGTGCAGAGGTATATTCCACATGTGCGCTTCCGAAATAGATGACAACGTTGACTGTCGCGCATCGACGATCGTTACCGCCGACGCCTTCAAAAGAGAAACATTTGAAGAGAGCAAACAACTGCAACGAGAGACATGTTAAAGTTTCCTCCAAGCTCACCATCCTCCAGTCCAACATCTCCTTTGAACCATCGGCAGACAGGTGGAGGCTGACCGCTGAAACGGGCCAGCAATTCCACACGCTGCCCCAGACGGGACTGTACCGACACTGGAGCATGAGTGAAACGTGGCCGCATCGTAGATGAGCTGAGGCGAATATATCTCAATTTTCGCTTATGCACGACAACGATTCCGGATAACCTTCACTCACCTAGTAGGCTCAGTCACTGCCAATTCAATGGTTGCACTGGCCTCACCAGCAACGTTTACGGCAGTTAGTGAATACTGCCGGCATCTGTGCGCACTGTGTCGCTCACATGGTCGCCATCGTTAGTAATCTGAACAACGAATAATTCTGATGATATGTCCGCATACGTTGACAAATTTTTGTTCCGGCACTTACAGTATATTTTTGACAGTTAGTAATTGCTTCTGATCCTTTTGCCCATGCGACAACTGGATCGGGATGACCAGTGACACGGGCAGAGAGTTCCGCGCTCTCACCGGGCCCAACTCTAACAATACTTGGTGCATCAGTGATGCGTGGAGGATCTTCAATAAGAGATCGTTCATGACCTGAAAGAAGCACAATAAAGTAAAGATTTGCCAATCAATTAGGCACAGGAAGAAATGGTAACATCTAATAAAGCTTTCAGCCTTGCGGTTGCTGCCGAAATCGGCTACCGGTTCATCACGTTATACGTGTGAATGCTGATAAGCTATGGTAACTTCACCATCGAAGCTGAGTTGGGGTGAAATGGTGCCCCGGTGGTGTAACTGGTAGCACAATTGCCCGGAAAGCAAGAGATCCGGGTACGAATCCCGCATTCTAGTGAAACAGGAAAAAATTCTTTTTCAGAAAGTTGGGCGAAAACTTTTGGACGCTGCGCAAAATGAAGGTTATCGAAAACAGATACTGTTGAAAACCAAGCAGGCAATGCCAAGAAAATCAATATAGGATCACAAGATTCTTGAAAATTAATAGATAAGAAATTACAATCGACTTAAGCTATAGGCATAGGTACCTGAGTAATAGCTAAACAAAGCGAGTGACCGTCAGAAAAAAAGATTAGAAGTAAGAAAAAAATTCCAATCAAAGTAGAAGACTTACTGTGAATATCGAGTCTCATAATACATCGCGCTGTTCCAAACTGATTTCGCGCCTCCACGGCGTATTCTCCGCCGTCTTCAGGGAAAGCGTCAGCAATCACTAGACGAACATCTGTACCGTTTCGTACGTATTGGAAAGATTCAGAATCCGTGATGACCACTCGATTACGAACCCAACGTATTTGCAATGGTTCAGAACCTAAATTGAAAGTTGTTCTGACGTTTCTTTAATAACCGGTAGTAAACAGCATTAGGTCGAAGATATACCTTGCACAAGCTCAGCAGCTAGCTCAACACGCTCTCCATCATTGGCTTTTATTATCGATCGAACTTTTTCAGTTCTATAAAATGGATTATGTACTTACAAGGTAAAAAAAAATTGAACTTGAAAGCAAGAAGAAAGTCCTCGAGAGAT